ATCCTCCTGGTTTGTATACAGGTTCCTCACAAGCACAATTAAGTGTTCTGGGATTCCCGTTCTTCTCAGTGTTATGCATAATCTGTTATGATCCACACAGTCTAATACTTTTGCATAGTCAATAAAACACAAGTAAATATCTTTCTGGTGTTCTTTGCTTTCAGCCAAAATCCATCTGACATCAGCAGTGATATTCCTCATCCAATGTCCTATTCTGAATCTAAATTACATTTCTGGAAGTTCTCTGTCAATATACTGGTACAATTGTTTTTGAATTATTTTCAGCAAAATTTTACTTGCATGTGATGTTGATATTGTTAGATAATTTCCACATTCTGTTGGGTCACTTTCTTTGGAATGGGTATACATATAGATCTCTTCCCAGTCAGTTGGCCAGGTAGCTGTCTTCCAAATTACTTGACATAGATAAGTAAGTGCCTCCAGCACAGCATCCGTTTGTTGAAACATCTCAATGGGTAATCCAGCAGTTCCTGGAGCATTATTTTTCCCTATTTCCTTCAGTGCACCTTGGGCTTCTTCCTTCAGTACCATTGGTTCTTGATCATATGCTACCTCCTGAAATAGTTGAACATCAATGAATTCTTTTTGGTATGGTGACTGTGTATTCCTTCCATCTTCTTTTGATGCTTCCTACATCATTCAGTACTTTGCCCATAGAATCTTTCAGTATTCTAACTCAAGGCTTGAATTTTTTCTTCAGTTTTTTCAGCTTGATAAATGCCAAGTGTGTTCTTCCCTTTTGGTTTTCTAACTCCAGGTCTTTGCACATTTCATTATAGTAATTGACTTTGTCTTCTTGAGCTGCTCTTTGAAATTTTCTGTTCAGCTCTTTATCTTGTCATTTCTTCCATTTGCTTTTGCTACTCTATGTTCAAGAGCAAGTTTCAGAATGTCTTCTGACATCTCTTTCCTTTCCTGTCTTTTAATGACCTTTTACTTTGTTTGTGGATAATGGTCTTGATGACATCCCATAAAATGCTCCTGGTTTTCATTCACTGGTGTTCAGTGCATCAAATCTGTTCTTCAGATGGTCTCTAAATTCAGGTAGGATATAGTCAAGGTCATATTTTGGCTCTCATGGACTTGTTTTGTCTTCAGCTTCAGCTGGAATTTGCATGTGAGCAATTGATGATTTGTTCCACAGTCAGTTCCTGGCCTTGTTTTGGCTGAGGATAATCGAGCTGCTCCATTGCCTCTTTACACACATGTAGTTGATCTGATTTCTCTGTATTCCGTCTGATGAGGTCTACATGTATGTTGTTGTTGTTATGTGCCGTCAAGTCAGACCCAACTCATAGCAACCCCTCCTTAGGTATCACTACAGAAGTAGATTGCCCAACCTTCCTTCCGAGGAGTGGCTGCTGGGTTTGAACTGTAAAGCCACCATTTATGTTGTTGAAAAAAAGTATTTGCAATGAATAAGTCATTGGTCTTGCACAATTCTATCATGTGCTCTCCAGTGTCATTTCTATCACCAAGGCCATATTTTCCAACTACCAGTGATTCTTCTTTGTTTCCAACTTTCACATTCCAATTACCAGTAATAAGCAACACATCTTGATTGCATGTTTGGTCAATTTCAGACTGCAGAAGTTGGTAAAAATCTTCAGTTTCCTCATCTTTGGCTTTGGTGGTTGGTGTATAAAATGAATAATAGTAATATTAACTGGTCTTCCTTGTAGGCGTATGGATATTATCCTATCACTGACAGCATTGTATGTCAGGATAGATCTTGAAACATCCTTTGCGACAACAAAGGTCTTGCCATTCCTCTTCAATTTGTCATTCCCAGCATAGTAGATCACATGATTGTCTGATTCAGAATGGCTGAAAGTAGTCCATTTCAGCTCACTAATGCCTAGGATATCAATATTTATGTGTTCCATTTCATTTTTAACAACTTCCAATTTTCCCACATTCATACTTTGTGCATTCCATGTTCTGATTATTAATGATGTTTGCAGCTGTTTCCCATTTTGAGTCCTGCCCCATCAGCAAATGGAGGTCCTGAAAGCTTTACTCCATTCATGTTATTAAGGTCAACTCTCCCTGAGGAGGCAGCTCTTCCCCAGTCATATTTTGAGTGCCCTCTGACCTGAGGGGCTCATCTTCCAGCACTATATCAGACAGTGTTTCAGGGCTATTCATAAAGGTTTCTGATCCTATATCAGAAAGTGTTTCACTGCCATTCATAATGTTTGCACTGGCCAGTTCTTTGAGAAGTGGATGGCCCCTTTCTTCTGACTCTGTCATACTCTGTAAGCTCCCCTGAAACTTGTCCTCATGGGTGACCCTGCTGGTATTTGAAAAACTGGTAGCATAGCCTCCAGCCTTACAGTCACACACAAGCCACCACACACTACGACAAACTGACAGGCAAGTAATGGAACAATTTACTTTTTTTTTTGCATTTATTGATATAATCATGTGTTTTTCTTCTTTATACTGCTAATATGGTAGATTATACTGATTGATTTTTCAATATTTAATCAGTCTTACATTCCCAGGATAAACCCCACTTGATCATGGGGTATCCATTTCATTTTGAAAAACATAGCTTTTCCTAGGCATTAGTAAGCTGAAATGTGCTGGTTTGGGCCATTTTGAATCAGACAATCATATGACCTACTATGCTGGGAATGACAAATTGAAGAGGAAGGCTATGGCATTCATTATCACAAAAAATATTTCAAAACATTAAAGAATACAGCTTTTCAAAATGAAATGGGTACCCCAGGATCAAGTGGGGTTTATCCTGGGAATTTAAGATTGATTAAATATTAAAAAATCAATTAGTATAATCTACCATATTAATAGTATAAAGAAGGAAAGCACATGATTATATTAATAAATGCAAAAAAAACCTTTTTAACAAAATACAGTACATTCTAATGGTAAAGGAGGATCTCTGGTGGTGTACTAGTTATAACATTCAGCTTACTAATCAAAAAGGTCGGTGGTTCTACCAGCCTCTCCACAGGAGAAAGACGTTTCCATCTGCTTCTGTAAAGATTTACAGCCTATGGGGCACTTCTACTCCATCCTAATAAGTTCACTATGAGTCGGAATCAGCTTAATGGCAGTGGGTTTGGTTTTGGTTTAATGATTAAAAGAAAAAAATTCTCAACAAACTAGGAATAAAGGGAACTTCCTTAACCTCATGAAGGGCATCTACAGAAAACCTAAGGCTAACAACATCTTCCATAGTGAAAGACTGAATGCATTCCAAGATTGGGAACAAGGCAAGGATATTCCTCGTTCACCTCCTATTCAACATGGTACTGGAAGTCTTAGTGCATTTACGTTTGAAATAGAAATAAATATATAAATCATAGAGGGGAAATAAAAGTGTCCCTATTCATAAACACCTTACTTTGACAGGGAGCTGCCAGAAATTTAGACCGGATTCAGAAGAGCTCATGGAAAGAAGGATATCATTGCTGATGTCAGATGGATCCAGATGGATCTTGGCTGAAAGCAGAGAATACCAGAAAGATGTTTACTTGTGTTTTATTGACTGTGCAAAGCCATTCAACTCTGTGGATCATAACAAATTATGGATAACATTGCAAAGAATGGGGGAATTCCAGGACATTTAACTGCGCTCATGAAGAATGTGTACATAGACCAAGAGGCAGTTATTCAAACAGAACAAGGAGATACTGAATGGTTTAAAATCAGGAAAGGTGTGCATCAGTGTTGTATCATTTCAGCATATTTAGTCAATCTGTATGCTGCTCAGATAATCCTAGAAGCTGGACTGTATGAAGAAGAATATGGCATCAGGATGGGAGGAAGACTCATTAACAATCTGTGATATGCAGGTGATGCAGCCTTGCTTGCTGAAAGTGTAGATGACTTGAAGCACTTACTGATGAATATCAAAGACTACAGCCTTCAGTATGGATTATACCTCAACATAAAGAAGACAAAAATCCTCATAACTAGACCAATAAGCAACATCACAATAAATGGAGGAAAGTTTGAAGTTGTCAGGGATCTCATTTTACTTGAATCCTCAATCAGTGCCCCTGGAAGCGGTTAGGAAATCAGACATTGTGTTTCAATGGGCAGATGTGCTGCAAAAGACCTTTTTAAAGTGTTGAATAACAAAGATTATACTTTGAAGACTAAGGTACACCTAACCCAAGGGATGGTATTTTTAGTTGCCTCATATGCGTGTGAGAGGTGAACAATGAATAAGGAAGACTGAAGAAGAATTGATGCATTGGAATTGTGGTTTTGGCAAAGAATACTGAAAATACCATGGACTGCAAGAAGAACTAACAAATCTGTTTTGGAGAAGTACAGCCAGAATGCTCCTTAGAATCGAGAATGGTCAGACTTCGTCTCATGTACTTTAGTCATGTTGTCAGAAGGGACCAGTCCCTGGAGAAGGATCTCATGCTTGGGAAAGAGGAGGGTCAGTGGGGAGGGGGAAGACTGTCAGCAAGATGGATTGACACTGGCTGTGACAGTGGGCTTAGGCATTGCAGGGCTTGTGAAGGTGGCACAGGACCCGGCAGTATTTCATCCTGTTGGGCATAGGGTTGCTGAGTCAGAGCTGACTCCACGGTTCCTAGCAACAACAACAACATTGATACACAGTAAGAGTATAGTGGCTTCAAAAGCTATTCAGTTCATTTCAGTAGTTTTGAGCAAATATACAGAGCAGCCAAGTAGTTCAAAGTACATTCCTATAGAAAAGGAAAAGCTTAATAAAAAACTTCCTCATCAAGCCAGGGAGTTCACGTGACTTCTTACTGTAACTGTACTATATAAAAGAAATTGACTTTAAAAGAATCCCTTGTTTTTAACTAGTTGTCCAACATATTACATAATTTGACTTTCACTTTGAGAAAATTTGAAACTGTGGAAAATAAAATATTTGCTCTCTTATTTGTAAAGTACAATTTCAGTATGAGTTACTTACTCTATCTGTCTTTTTTTTTTTTTTTTTTTACACTTGTATTTCACAGGATGGAGGTTTGCTTCTGAATAACCCTTCAGCATTAGCAATGCATGAATGTAAATGTCTTTGGCCAGATGTCCCATTGGAATGCATAGTATCCCTGGGCACTGGACGTTATGAGAGTGATGTGAAAAACACCGTGATGCACACAAGCTTGAAAACCAAATTGTCTCATGTTATCAACAGTGCTACAGATACAGAAGGTTAGTCTGTTTGTTTGTTTATTTGCTACCTGCAAGTATTTCAACTTCTAGAATTCAGTTTTTTGGTAGAATATGCTGATCCTAACTTTAAAGTACATGTTATGCCTGTGTTACGGATTTAGGAAGGACATGGGAGAATGTCTTTTCTTGTTTTCCTGTCTCCTCACCCATTTCTAGTGTCCTAGAATGGACACTTCTCCATCTGGGAATTAGTGTTATCCTTGTCTACTTAACAACAGTTGAAGTATCTAAAGTAGGGATCACACAAAGGCTTAGAGACTCTTAAGACCAAAACAAGGAAAAGAAGAAGACAAGTCATGTTGATTTGGATATACACATGATAACAGTGAGAGAATTAGAGCTCTTATGGAATTAATGGAATTAGATTATTTAGTTATATGGAGGCAAATTGGAATTGAAATAAATCTTTACTTCCACTATTGCCTCTTCTATAGTCTAGTCTCCATATAAAGGCTAAAGTGATCCTTTAAGAGTATAAATTAAATCATGCCTTTCCCCTGCTCAAAACCCTTTAGGCTTGCCATCACACTTAGAACAAAATCCAAAATCCTCATACACTGTGTCTAGCCACACTTTAATTCTTGCTGTTCCTCAATCTTGCTAAGCATTTTTATACTTCAGGGCTTCTGAGGTTGCTGTACTCTTCATCTCTAAAACCCTTCCTCCAGCACAAGTTGACTTAATCCTTTATTTCATTCAGGCCTCTGTTCGGATGTCACTTCTTTAAGTGTACTTTAAAGGAAATACTTCTTTTAAAACAAAAATTTTAATACTTTTATTTACAAAAGTAATACATTTACTTTTTTTTAATTTACAAAAGTAACAATATATTGTGATGTTTCTGATATATGTTGAAATGTATGGCAGCAGTAACACAAAGGATAGGAGGATAGAAATGGAAATATATTGTATTTGAAGGTAGATGTGATAAGTTAAGGAGCTTTAGTGGCACAGTGCCTAAGGCATTTGACTGCTAACCAGAAGGTTGGCAGTTCAAACACACCAGCCGCTCTGCGGAAAGATGGGTCAATCTACTTCCATAAAGATTTACTGCCTTGGAAACCCAATGGGGGTTGCTATGAGTCGGAACTGACTTGGTGGCAGTAAGTTTCTTTTTCTGTTTGTGATAAATTAAAGATATGTATTATAAGCTATATATAGAAACTACTAAATAAAAAGGAGGAGGGAGACATAACTCAATAACAGAGATTAAATGAAATGATAAAAAGGTAATCCTAAAGAAGGCAGAAATAAGACAACACAGAGCAAATGGGAAAAGAATAGCAAGATGGTCAATTTAAACTCAACCATATTGACAATCAAATTAAAAGCAAGCAATCTAAACACTTCAAATAGGACAGAGTGTTCATCATGCCATAAAAGTAAGACCTAGCTATGTGCTTGTATATGAGAAACCTCCTTTACTATGACAGTACAGATACAGGCTAAAAGTAAAATACAAATACTGATTCTTCAAAAAGCTAGAGTGGCCATTTTAATAACCAAGAAAATAGAATTCAGGGAAAGTATTTATAATCAGTAATAAAGAGAGACATTTCATAAGGATAGAAGACAAAGCAGTCCAATCTACATAAGAATAGAGCTTCAGTATACAGAAAGCAAAACATTTATAGAAGAAATGAGAAATAGGCAACCCTGTAATTATAATAGGAAATTTCAATACCCCTGTCTCATTAATTGATAAAAAATAGAAAGTCTGTAAGGATATGAAGACTTGAACAAACACTATCAATCAACCTGATTAAATTAAAGTTTATAGAATACTCCATCTGACAACAGCAGAATATATAGTTTTTTCAAGTCCACACAGAATATTTGCCAAGATAGACCATATTCTGTGACATAAAACAAGTATCAGTAAACTCAAAACGATTGAAAACCATACAAAACTATGTTCTTTGAGCATAACAGAATTAAATTAAAAGTGCTTAGCAGAATGATACCTAGGAGAGTCTCAAATATTTGAAAATTAACACAATTCTCAAAAACCCTTGGGTCAAAGAAGAAAGAAGAGAAATTTTAAAATTATCTTGAATTGAATGAAGATAGAAATACAACATTTCAAAATTTGTTGTAGTAGCAAAAGCAGTACTTAGAAATTTATAGCATTAAGCATTTATATTAGAAATCTGTGTCTCAAATCAATGACCTAAGCTTCCATTGTAAGAAACTAGAAAAAGAGGAACAAATTTAAAGCAAGCAGAAGAGGTGAAATAATAAAGAACAGAAATCAGTGAAACAGAAAACAAAAACAATAGGAAAAAAGTCAAAACTAAAAGTAGATACCTTAAATTCAATGAAATTGATAAATTTGTAGCAAACACTCAGAAGTTCTTTCAAGCAGAAAGACAATGAAAAGAAATTTAAGGCATACAGATTAGAAAGGAAGAAGTAAAACTGATATATATAGAAACAGTGTTGCTTTATGTTGACAATCCTAAAATCTAACAAACTACTGGAACTAATAAATGAGTTTAGCAAGAGTTTGGGTTATCTAGTGCTGCTATTGTAACAGAAATACCACAAATGTATGGTTTGAACAAATAGGAGTTTAGTCTCTTACAGTTTAGGAGGCTAGAAATCTAAGTTCTGAAGCTAGAAGTACCAGTACTAGGGACTGTGTGAAGGCCCCTTGACCTTGGGCTTCAGCTCTGCCTCTTGCTCCCCACCCACTGAAGCTGGAGGCTTCTCTTAACTTGGGCAGCTGCTGGCTGCTGAGGCTGACAAATGCATTATCAACAAGTAAAATGGCACAGTCCCAAGATTATTGAGCAACACGGCAGGCCACAAGTTAAACAGTCCCAGGATTGGTAGACAACATGGCATACCACTGATTACTTGGCCAAATGCAGGATACCAAAAGGTTGGCAGTTCAAACCCATCAGCCACTCTGCGGAAGGAAGACCGAACAATCTGCTTCCGTAAAGATTTACCACCTCAGAAACCCAAACAGGGTTGCCATGAGTTGGAATTGGTTACTGCTAACCAGAAGGTTGGCAGTTCAAACCCATCAGCCACTCTGCGGAAGGAAGACCGAACAATCTGCTTCCGTAAAGATTTACCACCTCAGAAACCCAAACAGGGTTGCCATGAGTTGGAATTGGTTCGAGGGCAGTGAATTTGGTTTTAGTTTTTGGTAAACCTTATGGAAAGCCAGTTGCTGTCAAGTTGATTCTGACTCAGCAAACCCATGTGTGTCATAGTAGAACTGAGCTCTGTAGGGTTTCAGTAGCAGAATTTTCAGAAGTAGATTGCCAGACCTTTCTTCCCAAGTGCCTCTGGATAGACTTGAACCGCTACCCTTTCAGTTAGTAACTGAGTACATTAGCTGTTTGCACTACCCAGGGACCCTGAAAATTCTGTGGAACACACTTCTACTCTGACACACATGGGGTCATCATGAGTCAGAGTCAACTCAAAAGCAACTGGTAAGCATGTGGCAGATTATATGCTTAAAATTGGTGACTTTTTAAAAAAAGTAAATTATACCTCAGTGAAGTTGATCCTCCAAAAAATGAAAAACAATGAAGTAATACTGGGGAGCTGTAACAGCAGTACATACAGTATGACCAAAATCATGGAAAGAGGAGAGTGTTGGTACGAGTATCCTAATGTCGTAGAACTATATGACTATTTTATAGTGGTATCCATAATTATGGATTCCTTACTCATACTGTTGAATAATTAAGTGATGAAATAATCAAGGTTTTGTAGTTTGCCACCCCAAAAAGATAATTTTAGATAAATATAAAATTAATAGATCATTGCAGAATAATGTAGTGTTCTTATCTAATTCATTATCTCTCCCTCTCTCTCTCTCTCTCTCTTTTTTTTTTAAACAGAAGTCCATATAATGCTTGATGGTCTGTTACCTCCTAATACCTACTTTAGATTCAATCCTGTAATATGTGAAAACATACCTCTAGATGAAAGTCGTAATGAAAAGCTGGATCAGCTGCAGTTAGAAGGGTTGAGGTACATAGAAAGAAATGAAGAGAAAATGAAAAAAGCTGCAAAAATATTAAGTCAAGAGAAAACAACTCTGCAGAAAATTAATGATTGGATAAAACTGAAATCTGACATGTATGAAGGCCTTCCATTCTTTTCAAAATTGTGACATGTATATGCATGTGTTCTCATAAATGAAAACATTCTCAGAAGATCAGTAAGAAAGTGTGGGATTTGGCATGAGTTCATTCTGAAATACTTAAGAATTATGGGGAATCCTGGAAAAAGATGGTGCTTGGACCAGTTTCCAAACATTATAGAGAGTATTCTTGGTTACAGAGTTCTCAAGGGAATTAACTTTTTATGATATTAATAGTTACCTGAACTTTAGGAACCTTACTGTTATTCTCATTGGTTTAGTAGATACTGGTGTTACACTGTTTGATGTTTGAAAATTTATTAATATATGTGCCAAATAATAAACTGAAAACTATCATATTATATTTGATATTTTTGCTTTACTCACCATAATCATGTTGGATTTATTTGATCATTGATTCTTTCATGTGGAAAAGTTAGTACCTTCTTAAATTTACTTTTTATGTGCTTTCACTAGCTATGTTCTGCAGTCTACAGACTGCCTCTTACTGTCATATCATCTAAAAAGATGCAGAAAAATGGAATTTCCTCTATCAGAATACTTTTATATTTGAAATATGAAAGAACCAGATTCACTTTTCTGTTCAAAATTTACTTATTTCAACATTATTTGGTTCAAAAAAATAGGTGAAGTTCCAATCAACCACTTTTTCCTCCTGAAATTTCAAGATGATGCTGCATGTGAACTTTTCTGGCTCTAGCTTATCCTTAACTGTTCTAAAATTAGTTATTTGAATTTACTGAGAAACTATTTCTAGCATTAACAAAAATAAAATATTAGAATCTTATGTTGAAAGGCTAATTCTTTTTTAAATTACTTATTGTTCCTAATGTAACTCTCCATTTCTTTGTAGCATTTGTGTGCTCCTACCAGCAGTATGGAGCTCTGGTAGCTTAGTGCCTAAGGCACTTGACTGCAAACCAGATTGCTGGCGGTTCAAACCCACCAGCCACTCCTCGGAAGGAAGATGGGGTAGTCTGCTTCCATAGTGATACCGCCTTGGAAACCCAAGGATGGGTCGCTATGAGTCGGGTCCAACTTGACAGTACATAATAACAACAAGCCAGCAATACATGTTAACGAAGTATTAGGTTTTCTGTACCTTATTAACTCCTTCAACCTCCTGCTTTTCACAAAGGTTAATACTTATGCACCTACCTGAATCATTATTCATATCGACCATATTCATCTTTGTTTTGTTACCTCTCCATTTGTCATGTAAATCCTTACATCATGCTTGGATTTATCAAGAAAAATTGAAAGAAAAAACAAGTACCCTTTTCTTTATGGTTTCATATAAACTAAAGCTATAAACCATGTTGCCCAAATTGTGCTAACGGTCTTTGTGATGCTGAGCCATAGAGACAGTGGGGTTCTGGTTCAGAGTGTGCTGAAAGAAGTTGAGAGTCTGGATGCTGATCTTGGTTCTGCTGCAGAGTCCTTATGTTTGTGATTTTGAGGAAGGTGGGCAGCCTCTCTGGGCTTCAGGCATTTCATTTGTAAAATGAGGAAAGCTAGCTTTTAACATGGGAGCTCTGGTAGCATAGTGCCTAAGGCACTTGACTGCTAACCAGAAGGCTGGCGGTTCAAACCCACCAGCCACTCCTCGGAAGGAAGGTTGAGCAGTCCTACTTCTGTAGTGATACTGCCTCGGAAACCCAAGGAGGGGTCGCTATGAGTCAGGGCCGACTCGACGGCATATAACAACAACAACAAGCTTTAACATTTTATTTACTCTTCTTTTATGGCAACCCAAAAGGTGTAGTTCACAAATGTACAAAAGAAAGATTGGAAGAGATGTGAAAATGAATTCAGTTGTATACAGGCAAAATATCTGCCATTTTCAAAAAAACAGGAAAAAAGGTATATTTTTTTAAACAAAATACAGCTAACTCATCAATTACATAAAAAGTAGTATAGAATAAAAATTATTTTGATGTTCAGGACTTCTTGTGCCTCAAAATTTTTACTTCTGTAATAAATAGTATACTGGCGATATTTCAGTTCCACTTTTGCTGTAGGTATTATTGTCTGTTAAAAATAGTACCGCAGATGGAGTTGTCCCTAAAACCACACAGGCTGGATGGGATTTCCCCAAGGGGCTGGGGAGAACCTGGCCAAGGTTACAATTACACTGTGTGTTTCTTCCCCTCCCACACACATCTAAGAGAAAGTAGATGTCACAACAATCTTTTCAGAGGGAAGGAAGTCAAATAGCATGCAGTCGGAGAGTATAGAGGGAAATCTTAAAATTTTCTTTCCCTTTGGGCTCCACCAACCCCAGCAGTTAGGGACAGCTGCCTCCTCTTTTCGCCTACTACAGAGCTGCCAGTCATTGAAGTAGCTGGGAGTCCTGAAGGCAAAGTTCAGACTTTGACCTAACCTACTATGACTGAGAAATGGTTCTCGTCACAGTTTTCACAAGCATCAATGCCAATAAAGTAACTAAAAATATAGATGGTAACATCCAAAGGACACAGTTTTTAGATGGAGATAAATAAATATGAAGCTGTTAATGATTTTAAAAAAAGTGTACAATAGTCCTTTTGTTCAGATCATAGGTAAATACATACTCAACTACAACATTGTTATAAATGTATGAAAAACACAAATTGGAAATCAGAATATTCCTAAGTATCCTTTATAAGAAAGCACATTTCTACCACAATAAAATATTTAAGGAATTTACATATTTGCACCTTATCGTGAGATCACTCTTTTAAGTGTACTTTGGCCACAGCTTCTTCCTTAAATCACATGGCATAGCATAAGTACATGCTCACTTCCCCATCCTGTTTCTTCATCTCTGTTCAGTCCAGTAAAAGGTGCACCTGGTTGTGTGGTACACCAACTTCTAATCTAGTTCTTGTCCTCATTTGTACTGGAATCTGGTTTTCTGAAGAACTGTGTAAATTCATCTGAGATAACCCTCATTTTGAAATGAAGCCAGTACTTTCCCTTTGTGTAAAAACAGTGGATTTCTTTTCAGGAAGCAACAGAGGTAAAGAAGATTCTTCTGAAAAAGGGCACTTGCTACCAAGGTAGGTTATGGATTCTCCTTTGGATGGTTTCTAAAGGAGATTAAGTTCTTTGTTTATGTTTATTGTGATTAAGGTAAAAGTTTCCGGAATGAATTGGCTTTCCATTCAACAGTCCATGCACATTTTGCGAGATTCGTTGCAATCTGCACAATGTAACAGCACTCTTCCCATTTCCTCCCTGTGTTTACCATTTCCTCCCTGTGTTTACCATTTCCTTCTGTCCTGTCCTCTCCCTACCTACCTTCTGAGCTTTATCCTTGAGCAAATGCTGCCCTTTTGATCTCATGGTTGATTATTCTAATGAATGCGTACCTCCCTGCTATCACCGTTCACCTTACATATAGGGCTCTTTATCGTTTGGCTGAAAGTTGAGCTATGGGGATGAGTTCAGTTCCAGACTTGAAGGGGTATAAGGGTCATAGTGTCAGGAGTTCCACGAGTCTCTATCAGATCAGTAAGCCTGGTCTTTTTTATGGTGGAGTTTTGTTCCACATTTTTCTTCCACGCTATCTGGAACCTCACGTTACAAAACTTTTCAGAGAAGTCTTCAGTGGTAGCCAGACACCATCTAATTCTCTGGATCGTGGAGGCTGTGGTTCACATGTTCTATTAGTCCTCTGGACTAACTGTTTCCTTGTGTCTTTGATTTTCTTCACTCTTCTTTGCTTCGAATGGGGAGAGACCAATAGTTGCACCTTAGATGGCTGCTCAAAAGCTTTTAATATCCCAGTTGCTACTCACCAAAGTAGAATGTAGCACAACATCTGTGGACTCTGTTATGCCGGTTGACCTTAGTGTCCCCCAAGATTATGGTTTTTGAGCCCCCATGCCCATGTACTCATTCCCTCAAGGTGTTTAGTTATGGCTAAGAAATTTTCATAACTTTACCCTCTGTGTGCTTTACTATATTCATGGATATATTTGCAGCACATAAAAATACATATGTAGAAATACCCTCCGTCAAACCTGTATATATGTGTTTGTGAGTATAGTCCATTCACCTTCCCGTACAGAATAAGTTCTTTACGAGGAAATTTTGAAATAGATAAATGGCCTGGTTAGGCTTCCTCTCGCACTGTAATTCTCTGACAATGTACAAAAATAAGCAGTAAGTTAAAATAAATGTTCATTCATATCACTTATTCTATAAAATTTAACTGATGTCCTTGGCAAACATGCTTCTTGATTAATTTTTGCATTTAAATCAAGTGGTTTTCATTCATACCAATGCCTGCATCTCACTTTATTAATCATTGTGATTCTTTATGCAAAGCATGCCTTGAAAATGGCTGTAATGAAAAATCTCTGATTGAGAAAACAAAATGTATCCACTCAATAATTTTATTACAGCTAACTTTGAGTAAATAAAATGGATTAAATTGTGGTTCTATTTTTACATTAAGGGAAATTTTATAGCTATTATAGCAGAGAAAGACAATGTGTTTTTCCAAGTACTTTGATATCTATGGAGTAAACATGAATTTTTTTTTTTTTTTTTTTTTTGTATAAGCTAGTGTCTAGCACTTGTATGCCATGGCGAATAATAAATACATTTGGTCCATTATGCCATGCCTTATAATACCTCTGTGCAAGCATTATTATTCCCATTTTCCAGCTAAGGAAACCACAGCTTACAGGAAGTTAAGTAGTGGTGGAATAAAGAAGGCAGTTAAAAACGTTTTTAACCTTTACTTTTCTGTCTCTTCTAGTTAACTAGGTTGAAAGGCTCATTTCCATTGTGCAAACATTCATTGACTACCATCTTTATTCCAGGACCGGGATTCCACCCATTACATCATCCATGTTTATCAATTCCGATTTCCCTTGCGTCTTTTTATTTTCTTTTTACGTTTTACAGCTTTATTAAAGTATAATTCCCATACCACAGAAGTCATTCGTAATAACTACAACTTAATGATTTTTATTAAATTTGTAGAGTTGTGCAGCCATTACTACAGTCTGGTTTCAGAGGAATTCCATTATCCCCAAAAGTTCCTCCTTGCTCATCTGCAGTTAGTCCTCACCTCCATCCCCAGCCCCAGACAACCACTGATATGCTTTCCATTTGTATAAGTTTACCATTTCTGGACACTTCCTGTAAAAGGGAACATACAGTAGTCTTTTCATTAAGCGCATTTTTGCAATCTACTTCCATAGAGATACTGCCTTGGAAACCCAAGGAGGGATTGCTATGGGTCAGATCCAACTCAATGGCCGTGCATTGCACTGAGTTCTTATAGCATCTATTAATAGTTGGTTCCTTATTGTTACATGGATATGACATAATTTGTTTATCCACAAGTTGATGGATACTTTAATTGATTTCCATATTTGCCTCTTATGAAAAACACCGCTATGTAATTCATGTGCAAGACTTTGTGTGGACATATGTTTTCATTTATCTTGAGTAAATAACCTAAAAATAGAATTTCTGGGTAATATAATACGTTTAGGTTTAATTTTTAAAGAAACTGTCAAATACTTTTCCAAAGGGACTGTATCATTTTACATTTGCATCAGCAATGTGTGAAGTTGTTTCTTCTTATCCTCTCCAACCTTGGGGATCATTTATCTTTTTGATTATAGCTATCTGTTGTTGTTGTTGTTATGTGCCGTCGAGTCAGACCTGACTCATAGCGACCCCTCCTTGGGTTTCCCAGGAGTATCACTACAGAAGTAGATTGCCCCATCTTCCTTCCGAGGAGTGGCTGGTGGGTTTGAACTGCCAGCCTTCTGG